AAGATGAAGAATTTTGATGTTGTCATCTCTCTGGCTGGGAAGATGCAAATGATGGAAATTTCACATAATCTCTATACTTACAGTATTTTGATTAACTGTTTCTGTCGCCGTTCTCAACTCTCTCATGCGTTAGCTGTTCTTGGCAAGATGATGAAACTCGGCTATGAGCCCAGCATTGTCACGTTTAACTCTCTGCTGAATGGTTTCTGTCAAGGGAATAGGATTTCTGATGCTGTATCTTTGGTTGATCAAATGGTGGAAATGGGATATAAACCTGATACCGTCACATTTACGACTCTAATCCATGGACTTTTTCTCAGCAACAAAGCTTCAGAAGCAGTGGCTTTAGTTGAGCAGATGGCTGTGAAAGGCTGTCAACCGGATCTTTTTACTTATGGTGTGGTAATAAACGGAGTATGTAAGAGAGGTGATATTGATTTGGCTTTAAATCTGCTCAAGAATGGAAGAAGGGCAAATAAAGGCTGATGTTGTGATCTATAGCACAGTCATTGATGGTCTTTGCAAATACAGAAATGTGGATGATGCACTTGACCTATTCAACAAAATGGAGAACAAAGGAATTAGACCAAATGTTGTTACCTACAGCTCCCTCATAAGTTGCCTCTGTAATTACGGAAGATGGAGTCATGCCTCTCGATTACTTAGCCGTATGATATGGAGGAACATCAACCCCGATGTTGTTACTTTCAATGCATTGATTCATGCATTTGCGAAAGAAGGAAAGCTTTTGGAGGCTGGAAGTTTGTACGAGGAGATGATTCAAAGGTCTATAGATCCTGATATTTTCACTTACAGTTCCCTTATCAATGGGTTTTGCATGCTTGACCGCCTTGATGAGGCCAAGGATATGTTTGATTTGATGGTTAGCAAAGGTTGTCCCCCAGATGTTGTGACATATAGTAGTCTTATAAATGGATTTTGCAAGTCTAAGAGAGTAGAGGATGGCATGAAACTCTTTCGTGAGATGTCTCACAGAGGATTGGTTGGCAATACAATCACTTACAACACTCTTATCCAAGGGTTTTTTTCAAGTTGGAGATTGTGAGAACGCACAATTTTTTTTCAAACAGATGGTTTCTGCTGGTGTGCCTCCCAGTATCCGGACATACAACATTTTGTTGGATAGCCTTTGCAATAACGGGAAGCTAAAGAAAGCATTGGTGGTGTTCCAGGATCTGCAAAACAGTGAAATAGAACTCGATATTTTCACATATAATATCATCATTCACGGGATGTGTAAGGCTGGGAAGGTTGAAGATGGGTGGGATATATTTTGTAGCCTCAGCCTTGAAGGAGTGAAGCCTGATGTTGTAACATACAATACAATAATCTCAGGCTTGTGTAGGAAAGGCTTAATGGAAGAAGTAGATGCCTTGTTCAGAAAAATGAAAGAAGACGGGACTCTCCCAGATAGTGGTATGTATAATACATTGATTAGGGCACATCTTAGAGATGGTGACACAGCTGCATCAGTTGATCTCATCGAAGAAATGAAGAGTTGCGGGTTTGCTGCAGATGCTTCAACTATAAGCATGGTCTATAAAATGTTGTGCGAGGGGAGATTAGACAAAAGCTTTCTGGACTTGCTTTCCTAAAGCATTTTTGAGGTGAATGAGCTCCTTCTTTTTTATTGCTTTTCTTCTGATTACTTCTCAACCGGTTCTTTATGTTCTCATGTTATATGTGTATTTTAGGTTGCTGTTGTGTCTTAGTTTATGACTGATACTTTTGTTCGTGTATTTCCCTGTTAGGTTGCTATAACACAAGATCAGTGGTGAGGGTCATAAGAAGCTCTTCTCTTCAAGAAAATATCAGACTTGGTTAGGCATAATTACCAAAGAGCATAGTAGCTAGGCTTCCATGAGGAGAGTACTCAAGCATGATCATGGTTTTCGTTTAGATTTGGTTTTTAACTGATTGTTTAGACAAATTTCAGACTTGGTTAGGCATGTGAAAATAAATAATTTCGTTTGGGTTTTCACTCTCGATTCTGTTTTCCATTTACAAATTTTCTGAAATTGTTTTGCTATAGAAATCTAAATGCAGACTGACCAAATTTGCTAATACTTATATCCAAGACATTGTCAAATGATTGTTTTTTATAAACAGAAGTCCTTTCTGTTTTTATTAATTAGTTTGTTTCAGGTTTTCCACTTATAGAATTCCACTAAATTAGATTCCAGAAAAGCTTGTTTGGATACAAATTCCAGTTTAGGTTCTTGTCCCAGGACGGTAAAAAGAACACCTCGCTTTCAAGTGGTTTCATTGATTTTAGATTTAAGTGAAATCGTCCCATGGTTTGATGATTCTTTTGTTTTGGTTTTGTCGCTGGCATCTTCTCTCATTTCCCATGGGACATAAAGTAGATTACTTGTTGTTGTATCTAGAAGTTGATGATTGTCAAATTTCCCAAGGGAAATCAACTTTCGCAAGAACTCCGCATGATGGGAGATTGGACAAAAGCTTTCTCGATATGCTTTCTTAAACTGGAAGAAACCATCTTCAACTGGAAGCATCTGTGAGGACTTTTAATATTTTGCATTTCTTGTGATTACTACTTGACGCAGTTTATGTTTTCGTGTTAAATTTGTAGTTGTGTATGTGCTGCTTCATGGACATGACTGGTACTGCTCTTTGTTAAGTTCCCTTTTAGGTTGCAAACACACTTGATCAGTGATGAGAACAAGAAGGCAACTTTTTGTCATCCTTGAAACAATAGTTGAGCAACCCTGTTCCCTTGAAAGCAGCATGTGTGAGGTAAATGGACTTTTATATTGAAATGTATGTCTATCTTTGGTTACTCTTTTTTCTAAGCTTCGTGAACATGACTGATACTGTTCGTTGTTATTTCCTTGTAGGTTTGCAAACAAGAGTTGATCCAAACATATGTGGCATTGTAATGTCAACAGGAGCTTACTTGTCAGAAAGATTTTATGATTTCAGTTAACTAGTGGAAAAATATGGATTTATTGGTGAAATTCTTGTAAACTGCAAAGGTTCTCAACTCGTATTGAATCTGCTTCGCGCATGGATACAACTGTTTTGGTGTTCTTTGAGAAGATGAAAAGAAAGCTTACAAATTATAAATTGATTGATGGAATATAGTTTTGGATTAAGGGAATCAATGAATTGAGCACTAGAGTCTGATCATAGAATCACATAGTGAACCCAGAGCAGGGTTAAGAATTCTTTGATGTTCATTTATTAGCAAAATGGCTTAATAGATAAATACGTCCACTGCATTGATGTTAATGGTTGGTGATAATTTTTTTTGGTGGGTGATATATATGTACTTATTATAGCGTGGAATATAGTATTAAATTTGAGGTAGATCAGAGTTGGATCTTAGTAGTGAGATAAATAAGGATTTGTCTGTGAGTTTGCAGGGCGAGAGGAAATGCATCCTTCTCTACTGATTGTTGACAGGTTTTGGTTTTTGTAAGCCGAACTGTTTTATCGTAAGATTAGCTTCAGCAGTGATTACAGTGTCTTTCTTGGGTACAGCTCCCCTGCATTCATAACCTTATTTCTTTTCCTTAGTTTTGTCTGCTTGGGTTTTAGTTGATAAGGAATTTGCTTTCTTCTGGTATTTTGCGACTTAGGGACTTTTGCTAGAGAGCCAAAAGCTAACGCCAACTATTTCTAAGGATCTTGATTGCCACACTTTTCACTACATCTTTGGTTTCTTTTTGTATGTTTTCTTGCAGTGATGTTCCCACGGCGCAGTTCATTGCATTCATGATTTTTGTCTTTTGTTTGTGAAGTAGATCTTGTGAATCGAAATCAAGGTTAAGTATTGTTTGGTCATATGGCCCATCTTTTGATGAGAAGATGGCTTAATCAGTGTAATAAAGTATTGTGAATTTGAGCTAGGGTCAGTTTCAGTAATATCAATCACCGAGGGACCGAGTTTTGGGTTGCTTTTTGGTTGAATCAATGGTTAACTCCATCAAAAGAATCTTCATCTCTTGGTATATATTACCTTTCTTGTTGATACTCTTATCGAATCGCGTCTTTTATCTTCTTCTTGATGCAAATATCTTTGGTTTGTTTCTTGCAGTAATGTTCTTGTATGTTTGTGCAGTCGCACGCTGAGCAGATTATCCGCAGCAAGCGAATGTCCAAGTACATGGACCAAAAACTCTTACGCAAAGCAGTGATGATGTGTTTTTTTCTTCTCAAGATGTTGATTTGAATCTTAAGTGTGAGATTAAAAAAAAAAAGGTGATTTGCAGAAAATCTCTAATGAACACATGGTGTGTGAGTGTTAAGACTAGTAAACATGATAAGATGAAATCTTGACCGTCAAATACCAAAATGATCTAATGGAAATCCATATTTCTTCCTAAGGTTTCATGAATTGAGAGCTACGCATTGTTCATTTCAGGGTCTCAGAGTAAAAGATTGGGTTTCGAGAAGATGAGGTTCGACGACAGCGAAGAGATTTTGCTCATACTGCACGCACAGGGCCAGCAAAACCAACAAGCAACATTGCTAAGAGTGCAACATGAGAAACGTGACTGTGACCGGTGAAATTTGATTCAAAGTGAATAAACCGAAAGATAAAATTTCGAAAAGCATTTATTTCGAAAAAGCCGTGTTAGAAATGTCACATTTTATAAGTGAAGAAGATTTTATTTTTGAAAAGAAATATTTCTTGATCACAATCCCAGTTCCTAATCATCATTATTAGGAAA